GAAGGTTTTCCCAATTCCCATCAATCCCAGCCCCGCTTCCTCCTCAGAAGCTGCTGTGGAGCTTCCTGGAGGGAGTGAAGGGGGGCAGGGATGAGGGGCTGGGATGTTCCCAGCTGGAATTCCTTGCTGCCTTGGCAGAAATTCCAGGGTTTTTTTATCCTCTGAGCAGCGATTCCCATGTTTGTCCAGCGGGGCTCCTTCCCAGCTGTTCCCATGGAGCCGTTCCAGGATCCTGAGGTTCAGCTGCTTGCCTTTCCTGGCGGTTTTCCTTCCCTTCCTCCTCCCGGAGCTCTCAGAGGGGAAAACCGGGATGTTTTCCGTGAGAGACACCCCCCCGAACTTGTTTTCCCCCCCACTCCCCATCCCGTCGGGTTTTCCCGGGGGATGAACCCCGGGATCAACCCCCGCGGGGCTTGGGGGCGTGTCCCCAGGGGAGGGGGCGTGTCCCAGGGATGGGGGCGTGGCCCCAGGGATGGGGGCGTGTCCCCAGGGGAGGGGGCGTGTCCCCTAGGGGAAGGGGGCGTGTCCAGCGCGTGGGCCGTGAGGGAGGAGGGGGGCGGCCCAAGATGGCGGCGCGGCCGTGGCCGCTCTCGCTGCTGCTGCTGCCGCTGCTGCTGCCGGGGCCGGGCCCGGGGGGCTCCGGGGGGCCCGGGGGGCTCCTCGGCTTCGGGCCCGGCCCCGCCGCCGCCTACTTCCCCGAGGAGCGCTGGAACCCCGAGTCGCCGCTGCGGCCGCCGCGCGTGGCCGTGGCGCTGCTGGCGCGGAACGCGGCCCACGCGCTGCCCTTCGTGCTGGGGGGGCTCGAGAGGCTGCGGCACCCCAAGGACAGGATGGCGCTCTGGTGGGTCTGGGGGGGCTTGGGGACACCGTGGGGACACGGGACCCCAAGGACAGGATGGCCCCTCTGGTGGGTCTGGGGGGGCTTGGGGGCACGGGACCCCCCCCCGTGTGTGACCCCCCCGTGTGTGACCCCCCCCGTGTCCCCCCAGGGTGGCCGTGGATCACAGCGTGGACAACACGTCGGCCCTGCTGCGGGAGTGGCTGGGCCGGGTCCGGGGGCTCTACCACCGGGTGGAGTGGAGGCACCAGGAGGAGCCACGGTCAGGGATGGGGAACTCGGGGAGGGGGTCCTGGGGGGGCTCAGGGGGAGCTCTGGGGGTCCAGAGGGTCCCCTTGGGCTGGGGGTGCATCCCTGTGAATGTCCAGGCTTGGGGGGGGGTCCCCATGAATATCCAGGTTTTGGGGATCCCCATGGGCTGAGGGTGCCCAAATTTGTGAGAGGGGGGTGTCCCTGTGATTTCCCTGAGTTTGGGGGGGATCCTTGTGAGTCCCCAGGTTTTTGGAGGGTCTCCCTGGGCTGTGTGTCCCCCCTCTCGGGGTGTCCCCAGGCCGTGGGTGGGTGCTGGGGGGTCTCAGCGTGCCCCCCACGCCCCCCCCCCAGGTCGTACCCCGATGAGGAGGGTCCCAAACACTGGAGCCCCTCGCGCTACGAGCACGTGATGAGGCTGCGCCAGGAGGCCCTCGAGGCGGCCCGGGCCATGTGGGCCGACTACCTGCTGGTAGGGGGGTCCCAAATTTGGGGGGGGGCCTGGGAGGGTCCCCCACTGACCCCGGGGTGCCCTGGGGGTCCCGTGGGGTGCCCCCCTGACCCCGGGGGTCTCAGGGGGTGCCCCCTGACCCCGTGCCCCCCGTGCCCCCAGTTCCTGGACGCCGACAACGTGCTGACGAACCCGGACACGCTGGGGCTGCTGATGGCCGAGAACAGAACCGTGGTGGCCCCGATGCTCGACTCCCGCGCCGCCTACTCCAACTTCTGGTGCGGGATGACCCCCCAGGTGAGGAGGGACCCCCCAGGTGAGGAGGGACCCCAGGGGAGGAGGGACCCCAGGGGAGGGAGACACCCCCCCAGTGAGATTTGGGACCCGGTGTCATTCCTGGTCCCATTCCCTGTTCCCAATATCATTCCTTTCATCCCGGTGTCATTCCTGGTCCCATTCCCATTCCCAGGGCTATTACCACCACACCCCTGCCCCATTCCCGGTGCCATTCCCGGTGTCATTCCCCATATCCCTGCATTCCCAGGGCTATTACCGCCACACCTCTGCGTACCTGCCCCGTTCCTGGTGTAATTCCCGGTGTCATTTCCATTCCCAGGGCTATTACCACCATACCCCTGCGTACCTGCCCCATTCCCGGTGTAATTCCC